TGCATTTTTGAAGCACAAAGCTATCCGTTTGCATCACTATCATACTGACAGCAAATTTAGACAATTTACCTCCTTCTGTCCCCCAGCAAGACAGGATCCATTGTTTGCATTGAGATGTCCAGGTCCAGGTGTTTCAAGAAATTTTGTACCTCATGCAATGGCTTGATTGGCTAATCCTCCCCCTCCAAGCGCTGGGATTCCATATGGGGGCTGGTTTGTTTCCCAGCTACTCTGATTACATTCCAGTTCCCTGCTTCTGGCCTGGGAAAGCAGAGAAAGATGGTCCAAAACCTTGGGACCCTATACCCATGTGGGAGACCAGGAAGAGGCTTCTGGCTCAAGCCATTGTGGTCATTTGGGTAGTAAACTGTGGATGGAAGAGCCAGCTCTCTGTAGAGTTGCCTTTCCAATCAAAATAAATAAATCTGTAACAAATTTATGTAAGAAGTAGAGAAGGAGAGAGTGAAAGAGAGACAGTGAGAGATGTCTTCCATAGCTAGTCTGGTCTCCCTGTGACGGCGATGGCTGGGACTGGACTTGTGAAGCCCAAAGTTCCACTCAGATCTCTCACATGGGTGGCAGAGATGGGAGCACCTGAACCGTTGTCTCCTAGAGTGCACATGGGCAGGAAGCTGCAATTAGGAGCAGAGCCGGGACTCCAGTGACTTCTAAGTCAAAAGCCTGCCCCCAGGTCTGCGCTTCTGATACTGCAACTGTGGGGTAAAGCATCCAGTGGCAAAAGGTACAGAAGCAGCCACAGGAAAAACCAGATTCATGCAAACATTCTGTGAGTGGAGCTTCTGTCAGTCTTCCAGTTCTAGAATTTTCTCCTCATAACACACCATGTTGAGACTGTGCGTAGATGCATAAGTGTTCACCTGCTAAGTATGCCATAATTTTCAGAACTGCTGGGTGGTATTGCTTTTTAACGCTACCTGGTAAGAATGGCAATAGACTGGGCCCATAAGGGGGACCCAGGCTGGTGAGGGAGCCCTGGGCTGGAGGAAAGGGTCTTTAGCTTCCAGTCCTGCTCAGTTCCAAAACTCGGTGCCACTGTGGGTCATCACTGTCCCTGTTTGGACTTCAGGTTCCCCCTTGCTCCAGTGACCACCAAGGCCTTCCTGCTTGCAAATGTGCAGTTAGAGAAGTATGCTCTACATGACGAGAGGGGTGACACGGGGTCCTGGTGGTCTGGCAGGGACAGAGACTTGCTGGGGGACCTCCAGCAGGTGGCTGCCTCTGTTGTCTCAGCTTCCTCCCTGGGAAGCGATGAGCTGGTTGCCCTTGGGTCTATACTTCTGGTTTGGTTGCAGTCTGGCCCTTTGGGACCACAGTGACTTGGCTGAGCTTGGTCATTTCTCTGCCTGCTGTCTTCTGCTCCCACCCCCTTGGAGGAGCCTGGTTAGGCTGGGCTGGTCCCTCTTGGGTTGGAAAGTGTCCAGGGCTGGGGCGATGGGGAAGGTAGTGGCCACAGAGGTGTAGCTGCTTATCTCTGCTTCTTTGGAGCCTTGTGTGTTGGGCCGGGCCATGCTGCTCACAAAGCCCTCATGGACACTGCTCACCATCCAGGAAGCTGGCAAGTGGCACTACGTGCATGATGGAGAACTACACAGTTGTATAAAAGCACCAAACAACCCTTGGGACACACAAGGTTGCCAAGGAGTAGTTAGGAAAAACGAGTCCCGCGCAGTACAGCCCGCGTTTACAAAGCAGGATCTGTAAACTATTATCCTGTGGCGGAAAAGCATGTCCGCCACTTGCTGGGATGGGCAGGTGGTCTCCACAGGCATTCACACAGCCCTGCGTTGCAGTAATCACCTCTGAGAACTGGGACCGAATGGCCGGAAGGAAGGTTTATCTTCAGTGTATTATCCTTGTCTGTGTCATTTGCATCATGATCTCTGGGCGTGAATTATCTATATCAAAGGTAATATAACTGCAATAAGCCAGGATGAGTAGGAGTGCAAGAGGGGACCCCAGAAAGTTGCTAAATGCCCTGCCTTTTTTTGAAGAAAGGTTTATTTTATTTCAATGAAAGACAGAGTAGCAGAGAAAGAGGAAGACACCCACAGATCTTCCATCCACTGATGGGACTCCCTACATGGATACAATGGCTGGAGCTGTGCTAGGTTGAAGCCAGGAGCCTGGAGCTTCATCTGGGTCTCTGGTGCAGGTGGCAGGGGCCCAAGTACTTGGGGTATCTTCTGCTGCTTTCCCAGGTATGTCAGCAGGGAGCACCTGGAGCTGGTGTGCTCACATAAGAGTGCAAGGATCATGGGTGGCGGCTTAACGAGCTATGCCACAACACAAGCTCATAATTCTTGATTGGCTTGCTGTGTTCACAGGTGTGCTGAGTTCATAACAACACTTTGACATGCATTCTTTGAGAAAGTCTTAACTCAGTCCTGTAAATGGTCGTGGACTGCGACAATAACTTGTCAGGATCACAGTTGTAATTACAGCTGTTTGGGGAACAGCTGCTTTTATTGGGTTTTGTATCTTTTGTATTCTTTTTAATAATGAGAACACAAGAAGAGAAGCCTATCTTTTTTTTTTCTCCCCCAGAAACATAGGTCAGTATTGAACTTTCTAGAAGGACACCCAGGAAGCTAACAGTGTTTTGGGGAGGGAGGAGGCGAGGTTCATGTTTTTTACTGCCTGCTACTTGACATACCTTGGACCACTTGCTCAGCGTGTATACGGCCTATTAAAAACCATGTTAACAAAGCAAAACAAACACTCACCTTTACATTCTAGCTGGCACTTGCTGGCTAGACTGAACCAAGGAAGCTCAGCCACATTCCAGGGGTTCCCCCAAGCTGACTTCAGTGGCAGAAGTGGGTCTCCAGCCAAGAGCACCCCTGTGTCTGCACTGTCCCCACTCCCAGGCTTCCTGCCATTGACAAGGTTGAAGATATTTTCCTGTGGCTTTGCCAGAGGCTGCCTGTGCCTGGACCAGGGCAGGCCTGGTGGTGAGCAGTATGCTTTCCTAATCAGCTCCTGGAGGGGGAAGTGCAAGCTCCTGGGACACAGGATAGGCAAGACCTGTGTCCCTGGCTGGACCTAGGAGAGGGGAGGGAGCGGCCCCTGGAAAGTGCCTGTGCGTGGGATGGGCCCCTGGGGACCCTCCTTCCTCCATGTCCAGTAGAAGGGGGTTTAAGTGCGACCAGGGCAGGTGACTTGGGGACTCACGTGTTGCCACCAGCCTTGGGTTTTGTCTGCAAGCAAGCCCTGGTCAGTAGGGCTCACCCATGGCATCTAGTTCAGGTTCAGAGAGTCAGCTGTGAGCAGTGAGGGGTTGGGCGGCTCAAACCCAGGGAGTACTCAACATGAGCTGGTAGCTGGGTCATTGCACCCATGTGGGGGACCTGGGTGGAGTTCCTGGCTTCTGGCTTTGGCCCCTGGTGGGCTGTTATGAGCATGTGAGAAGTGACCCACATGCCCACATTTTAATTTTAAATTAAGTTTTTAATTTTCATCTATTTTTATTGGAAAGATTGATTTTACATAGAAAAGGGAGACAGAAAGATCTTCCATCATTGGTTCACTCTCCGAGTTGCTGCAACAGCCAGAGCTAAGCTCATCTGAAGCTGGAAGCCAGGGACTCCCATGTGAGTGTGGCAGCCCGAGGACTTGGGCCATCCTCCCCTGCTTTTCCAGAGTACAAGTAGAGAGCTGGATCAGAAGTACAGCCGCCAGGGCGTACACTGGTGTCCATATGGGGGGGTGGGTACTAGCGTCACAGGCTGATGGATTAGCTTGCTCCCCTCGTTTTGGGCTTCTGAGTTCTGATTGTGGCTCCACTGAGCTCCTTGCTCCTCCTAGCAGTGATGTGGTCACTCTCTCAGCTGATCCTGTACAGCAGAGGTGACCTCAGCGCCTCTGCCCAGGGCTTGTGCTCTGTGTTCAGGTGGGATCCCCGGAGTGGAGGAGGGAGCTGCTTCCTGCTCTCACAGTGGCCAGACCTCAGGGCATCACTCTGCCATGTGCTTGCTGTCTTTGTCCTGGAAACGCAATCATCTCAGCTACACAGGACTCAGTGTGGGCACAGGTGCATTCACACAGGTGGAGACCAGGTGTGTATACAATGTCACTTGTGCAATGACACCTTTACGAAAGGGCATAGAAAGCATCAAGTGAGGACTGGCCTTGTGTGCTGACCCGGCACAATCCCAAAACGGGTCAAGAGAAAAGGAAGAGGCAGGAAGTGAGATTGGGGCGTGGGGAGTCATCTGTGCACGTTCTAGCTGCTTCATGGGAAACCCTGGGATTCCGGCTGCTCCTCGTGGCTAGCTGGGGGCTGCAGGGAAGAGGAAGGCAGACAGCACATCACTCATTCTCTTCTTCCCTGGGGATTTAGAGTCAAGTGAATGAGATGACATGTCCTCACTCAGACCCAGATAAGACTGCATTAGAATCTTCACTGCCATGTAACACCATTTAAGCAGCAGCCGGCGGGGAAACTTCGGAATTCTCCGTCCCTAGACAGACAATTCCATGGAAGGGGCTGCCTCTGACCTGCAATATCCACAACCCTTCCATTCTTTAGCTGGGAAAAACATCTTTTATTTAAAAATATCTTTTATTTTTAAACCCATCAATTCTCTCTCCCTCCCTTCCTCTCTTTCTCTCTCTAATGTGCGCGCTCTCTCTCTCTCTCTCTCTCTCACACACACACACACACACACACACACACAAGCACCACCATGCTCATACCCTCTGTCACCCACAGTCTTTGTTTTTCCGAAAGTTCTGTCTTGTCTCTGCTCAGCCAGGGCTGGCTAGCCTCCATGGATCGTCGCAGCTCTCGAGGGTGACGCAGAGATGCCCCAGGGCCCTGGCCAGAGGCTCCTGAGGGTCCAGGTCACTGTCCCCTGGTCCCTTCACTAAGAAGAGGTGGCTCTGTCTTCTGGGGTCTTCTCCCCTGTGCAGCCAGTGGCCGGCTCCTGGCTTCCTTCTCCCGAGTCCTGCATCGAGTAAGCGCCTCTGGGGGCCCACTTTCATCTCCGTGGTCCTCGAAGCGGGGTCACCCCTCTCACCTTCAAGCAACTGCCCCCCAGGTCCCGACGACCACCCTGTGGGAGGGGAGAAAGAGGAGGTGCAATCAGATCACCCCCAACATGGAACAAGCCTGAGGGCACAGCACAGACTTGATGGATGAATCCAGGTTGGCCACTCCGACACCATAGTTGACAGTGAGTGAGGACAAAAGCAAGGGGATGCCGAGGGGACACTTCTGGGGCTGAGGGACCGAGGGAAGGTGGTCAGCTAGGAGAGGCGTTGCCATGCCCACATATGTTCACCTTCTCCATTGCTTCCCTTTGGGTGCTGTGGCTTGGGAAAAAAACATCTGATGATTCTGCAGCCCAATGTTTCACATTCAAGGGGGAGGTATTCCCCCACTCAGGGTCCTTCCCTCTGTCACACCGCATCCTCCGCCACCTTCCCAAGTGGTCCAGGCCCTCTGGCCGCCCAGCCACCCTGGAAGGCTTCTTTCTCTACTGCAGAGGGCAGATTTCTGGCCTTTCTGGGGACAGTTCCCAAAGGGGATGGTGGTCTCTCCTCAGTTCCCCACCAGGCTGGAAGCTCAGGGAACGCTGCCAGTTCAGGACCTGGTTCAGAGCAGGTGCCCATCAGTGCTGCTTGAGTTAAATAGCGGCAGCTGGGAGAGAAGCATACAGGGGCGGGCCTGAAGCTTCCAGATGAGACCCAGTCTCGACCAGGCCCTTTTAGGTGAGGTAAGAGGGACCCAGCACTGTTCATTAGCCAGTGAGGTCACAGATGGGAGAGTGGCCCCTGTCCTGAAGCCTCTAGCAATGTGGGGATCTGCCCCAGGGCACCCAGCCAATTGGTAGGAGTTAGGCGGCAGATCCTCATCATTCGACAAGCCCTCTTGGTTTTGGCCAGCGCTGGTGTCGTGAACCCCAAGGTGAGTGCTCCTCGCTTGCAGCCCTGCCAGGGGGAATGCCGTGGGACAGGCAGCTTTCTCAGCCCATGCACACAGACAGCCAGTGGGCCATCTGGGAGCTCGGGCCCGGGCCTCCCTCCACCAGCCCCGGGTGCAGGTTGGGGCAGATCCATCCAGATGTGAGCCCAGCCTCCCTGGAGGCCCTCTAGCCCGGGGACAACATGTTCACTCACAGGCAGGGCTATTTTCAGGGCTGAGGCCACGGTCCCAGCAGAGTCCAGGGCCTGGGCTTCTCAGACAAAGTCTGGCAGGAGCAGCTGAGGAGGGTGGAGGGGGCAGAGGAGAGGGTGTAGTGTGGAGGTTGCGGGATGGACTGCCTCCTTGCCTTTCCTGGGGTAAGTCCCCAGACCCAGGAGTATGGCTTCACACTCCATCTCTGGGGTTTATCTGCACACCTGGGTCCCCAGTGAGAATGGGGACTGTTCACCTCCTTGAATCTGTCTCCTCATCTGTGAAATGGGCACCAACCTTCCCAAGGCGTTTGTGAAAGTGAGTGCAGCCTGTGAAGTGCCAGGAGTACTGGACGAGGTCCTGGCCGAGGGACTGTCTTTTAGGAACTCAGAGCCAAGGAACCCCAAGTTGGGTCCAAATGTGACAGTCCTGGGTCCCAGCGGGCCTCGTTTCCCTGCCTGTCAATGGAGTAACTTCACAGGCTAACACACACACACACACACACACACACACACACACACACACACACGCTCAGGTTACGCCAGACCGTACAGGGAAAGGCCTGCCTTAGCTGTACTTTAAGTGTTTAACGGGTATGTCCTTTTCATGTCCGTGAGCAGCACGCACTACTAACGGATGGCGGCTCTGGATCCAGCTGTCCTCTAAGTGGGCTCCTGAGCCGGGTCCCCCTGCAGCAGGGAGCCTTACCAGATGATCATGCTTCTGCCACCCCACCAGGGGACAAAAGAGAAACCAAAACAGACCCAAGCACTCCTTCCTCTGTGCCCACTCATTGTTTCTACCACCCACAGCCGAGTCTCAACCCTCCTTGAACCATAAGATGCTACAGGGAATGGTTTCCATAGAGAGCCCAGCCTCGGGGCATATGAAGGTGACAGGGATGGTTCAGGGAGAAGGAATAGCCTCTGGGGCTCCCACCCCAAAGTGTGGAAGGGATTGGGGCTCCCCAAGGTGACTTTTGTCTTCCAGCCCAGCCTTTGACGAGAGGCCTGGAGTGGGGGGAAGGATGACCCCACCTGACTGTCTAGTCCCAGAGGAGTCTGTGGAGTGGTGAGCGCAGCTCCTACAGCCAAATTTGGCTGTGTTCTCAGCCCCACACACCGGTTCCAGGGAAGCAACTAGGCCTCGCCAAGGCCCTGCGCGCAGAGGGAGAGCCTGAGGCTGGCAGAGATGTGGCCTGCTTGACTGTTGGGGGAGGGGGTCTATGACTCCCTGTTCCCCCATCCGCAGGTCTTCACCCCAGGGCCTGTAGTGCCAGGCCTTCACACTTGGTCCTTCTCCTGCTGCCAAGCATAGGAGATCTGAGTGCAAGGCCCAGCTCCATGTCAGGGTTTGAGTTTCCCAGCAGGTGGGGAGAGCCCCAGGGTCGGGTTGGGAGGGTTTCCCCTGGGCTTCTGCAGTTCCCAGTTCCCCCTGCCCCCAGCACAGTGCTCTGTCTTCATCACCCTGCTCTGTGTGGAGACCAGGTGGCCGTAAACCACCTGCTTCTCAGAGTTAACGAGGGCGGCTGCTGGGCGGCTACGGGCAGCTGAGCCAGTGGTAGCATCATGGCTGTCAACCTGTGCCACAGCCTGGGGCAGAGATGAGGCCCCCCAGGTGGGTGCGGGGGGCCTTGACAGGGTACCCCTCAGAGGCTAACAGGATCAATTGAGGGGAAAGCGAGGCAGCCCAGGGGTGCCAAGCTAGGCTGAGAAGTGGGTGAGCTAGGGCCAAGGCACGGAGACACTGCCATGAGACAGCACAGAGCTGTCCTTCTTACAGTAGGCCAGCTGTGAGAGCCACAGACCCAGGAGTCAGGGGCCTGGATGCAGCTGCCCTCGCTCGATAATTTGGCCACCACAAGCCGGTCAGGACTCTCAGCCTCAGCTTCCCTGGATGTAAATGGTGGCTGCTGGGATCCAAAGTTGTCACACAGCCCAGGTGACAAAGAGGGAGAGGCTGGGCACGATGCTAAGCTTGACTCTGTAAGTTTGGCTGCTCCCCAGCCCCCGTGGGTCCTGGGCTAGCTTGGTTCATGCCCCAGCTCTGTCCAGCTGACCCCACAGTGCCTGTTTCCCTACACTACATTACTGGCTGGGTGCTTGGAGGAGGACCTTTTCCCACCTACTGTCCATCAGCGGGGCATCTCAGCGTGCTGGCTGAGGGTATATGACCCCCTTGCCTCTCAATCGCCATTGTTTGGGCCAGGGTCTACGACTGGGGGTGTCATGTCAAGGAGGGGGCAGCCTGGGAATTTCACCACCCACTGCCGCTGTCCCTCCTCAGATAGAGGCGGAAGCTGCAGCAGCCGGGATTCCAAACGGCCAGGCAGTCTTTGTTACCCTTTCCTTGCGCCCTGCTCCAGGAAGGAACGAAAGCCCAATGCACCTTTTGAGGCAAGAAGGCATCCTCCCGCCGGCAGCCGTGCGGGATTCCCCTCGCCCTTTGGGGTTGGGGGAGAAGGAGGCTGCGCATCGCACGGATCAGGCGGCGGTCGCCCCCTGCGCCACAGCGGGTCTCCCTGACCAGCCTCCCCTCTCCCCGTGTTCCCTGCCGGCCCCGATCCAGGAACTGGGCGCACTCACCCCCTTACGCTGGTTGCTGAGGCAAAAGGTGCAGATGGAGCGTGGCTGGCGGCCGCCGTCGGCAGTGGCCGAGGGGATGGAGCTCTTGGCGCTGCCGGCCGCGCGGAAGCACGGCTGCCCGTCGTCGGCCGCGTCGCCCAGCAGCAACACGTTGGCCAGGTGAGCGATGTAGCTGGACGCCAGGCGCAGCGTCTCGATCTTGGATAGCTTGCGGTCCACCGGCTCGGTGGGGATGAGCGTACGCAGCGCCGTGAAGGCCGTGTTCACGCTCTGCGTGCGGTCCCGCTCCCGCGCATTGGCCGCCTGCCGCTGTCGCACCACCACCACGGGGCCCGCGCCGGCCGCCCGTCGCCCGCCCCCGGGGCCGGGGCCTCGCCGTGCCGCCTCCAGGCCTTCGCAGCAGCCGAACGACTGATCCGACGCGTCGCTCTCGCTGCGGTTCTCCTCGTCCTCGCTCAGCAGCCGCACGTCGGGGTACAGCACGTGCGCGCCGACCGGGCGCAGCAGCGCGAACGCCATGGGCGCCCGGCCGAGTCCCTCGGCGAGCCGGCTCCCCGCCTCCTCGGCCGCGCCCCGCCGTGCGCTCCAGCGCGCTCCCACGGCCCCGCCAGCCGCCGCCTTATAGCCGAAGGTGGGGCCGAGCCCGAGGCCGCCCCGGCTGGAGGCGGAGGGTCCGCCGCGGCCAATGGAGAAGCGCCCGCTGCAGCCCTGGCCAGTGGCGACACGCCCGTCGCCTCTCAGGTCCCCAGGTTGAAAGCAGGGCCCGGGAGTCAGGCGGACCGCCTTGAAGGCTCTCAAGTCATCGCGAGGCGATCTGGGCAGAGGCCAGAGGTCTGGACCAGCGAGTGGGATGGGGTGTCCCCGTTTTCGTCCCGGACCGGCTGGGAGATCCCAGGCAGGTTCATTCTCCTCTCTTGGCCAGGGTTTTCCTGGTTGGGTCGCAAAGATGCCTCCTCCAGCCCTCCCGCCTGCAAATTTTAAGCCTGTGCTCCTTCAGCTTTTCCTATGCGGTAAAAATTGAGGAAGTACCTCTCACATGGCAGGTGGCCCTGACCCACACAGTTTTAGAATGGAGTCCTGTAGTCTGTATTTTGTACTAACCCAAGGACGATGGCGGTAATGTCACGGGAGAGAGTTTAGTGAACAACAATGGAAAAACCAGGATTTGGCCAAGTTGTGTCCTGATGACAAACTTAGCAACAGACAAACAAACAAAACAATTGAACCCCAAATCCAAACGCTTACTAGTAATTCCTCATGAATTTATCGATTTGCTCAATAATTGATCCTAGAACCTGCTCTGCATCCAATCTAAGGCCGCGGGCATGAACCAAACCACTGTGGACCATCAGCGAGCTGATACTTTGGTGGAGGCCCTCGGCTGATGCTGCAGCCCTGGGTGCTTTCCCATGCCCAGCTGACACTGGGTCCAGCTGGAAACCTCTGATGGACAACCACAAGCTCTGACCTGCAGCCTGGCCAGCCTGGACAACCACAGCTCGGACCCCCCTGGTGAGGGAGGCTGTGCTACCTCTTGGGATCCTTTCCCCACACCCCATCACACAGGCCAGACTGTGCCTCCTTTGGGAATCTTTTCTTGGTTGGTCCTAACCTGTCCCCTCCTGGTGGGCTCTGGGAGATCTACAAGATTTGAAGATGGCTCTGGGGTGTTTCTTGTGCATTTGCCAACTCCATCTCAGGGGTCTGAGAGGAGCTCTCTCTCTGGCTCAGAGGGCAGGCACTGGTTGACACAGTAGGCGCAGGTAGCAGAGCCAGGAAGCTTCTAGCTGCATTTTGGCTCCTCTGGCCCCTTTGCTCCCAGGTCTGCTGTGTTGTGCTTTCTCGACTTTGCTGACCCAGAGCAAGAGGCATGGAGAGGAGGGGCTCTCCCTCGGCTGTCTGCCTGGAGAAGAGCCTGCTTAAGCCTTCTGGACCCAAAGTCTGCCTGAGAGTCTGTTCCCACACCTGGCTCCCCGCCGTCCCCCTGCTACCCACCCCCCCCTATTTCCCCATACACCATTTGACCGTGACCCTGGCCATGCTGGGATTTGGGGAGGAGGAGCAGGCGTCTGCAGCGGCCCCCTCCCTGCAGGGCCAGCCCCACACGCAGCCCCCAGGCCCGGCCGCTGCTTCCTGAGTTGATGAATTATTACCGGGAGATTTCCTTCCCTGTCTGCGCCTCCTCCTTGCTGGGGCTTCACTCCCTCCACTTTCGCTTTCTCCCTCCTCGCCCCCTCCCTTCCCCTCTACTCCTGACCCTCAGTGGGGCTTGAAATTCCTCTGTCCAGTCCCAGCTCCAAGCAGGGTCAGCCGGAAGGCAGGGAGGGGGCTAGCCTGCCTGGCTCATTCATTCATTTACTCCTTAGGCAGCTTGTGACACGTGGGATCCTGGGAGTAAACTAAAACCATGAATGAGAACTGAGCCGGGCCTGCCTGCTGCCAGAGAGGGAAAGGCTCGTGGTAAACAAGGACTCAGAGGACAATGTGGTGGGAGAAGCCCAGGGCCTGGCATCTCAGAGACCCAGGTCTGCTGTCAAGGTTAGCTCCCATGCCCCTGAGACCAGTTTCCTGCTCTGAAAATGGAGCATAAAAATAGTGCCCATTCTCTGGGTAGGGGATGGCAGTCTGCCCAGTGCATGGCACAGTCTTGCTACCTGAGAGGGCTTTGTGCAACAGTTATGCCCCAGCCAACAGCCTGGGCTGCCAGTGGGAAGGGGCTCCTACTTATGTCTTAGTCCATTCCCCCACCAGTCCCAGCCCTGTCTGATCTCTGATTTCACTCAATCCCAGCCATGTTGGCCTTGTGTCTGACCCTGTGCCCATGCAGACATGGCCCTGCTGTCTTCCTAGCACCTTTCCTCATTGCCCTGGACTCTCGCCTAAACTCTCCCTGAATGCCAGGACCAGCTCCACACCTGCCCCTCTCTGTTGCTGGCACTCTCGGCTCTCCCTCTGTCCCTGGCTGTTTGCTTTCTGTGGCCTTTCTCACTGCCTTGCCTCATTCATTTATTCATTCTCAAGTACTGAACACCTGCTAGGTGCCAGACCTAGGTCTGGGGTATAGAAAGCTACGCAGTGAACTTGGAAGACACTTAATTGCCCATTGCCCATCCCCCTCTCCTCAGAGACAGGGCTTTGTGTATCTTTCCATCTCACTTCCTGCTTATCATGGGCGCAGGAGGTATATTCATGATTCCCATATTATGAGTTCAGAGAGGAGAAAGTGACTTGCTTGGGATCGCACAGTGGACTCATATGGAAAATCAGTTTGATCTGACTCTAAAGCACTAACTCCTTCCTCAGCCACGTGGCTGAAGGGTCACCAGGTCAGAGGAGGAGGAAGGTCTGATGGGCAGAGAGCTCAGCGGCTGGGTCAGGAGCTAGTCTCCCTGAGCATGGACCCCTGGGCTGCAGTCCTCCTGAAACCACCAGTTTCGTCCATCTCTGACCCTTCCCCAGCTGTCGTCCCTGCCCGGAGTGCTACCCGTCCCTTTGGGTCTGACTGGATAATCCTGCTTCCAGTCCCATTGTCATGGTGCAGGTCATCATGGCCATCGCTGCCCTGATTCCTCTTTATTTAAAAGGAAGATTGAGAGAGAGAGAGAGATCATCCATCAACTGGTAAACTCCCCAAATGGCTGCAATGGCCAGGGCTGGAGTAGGGTGAAACCAAGAGCCCGGAGCTTCATCCAGTTTTCTTATGTGGGTGCAGGGATCTAAACATTTGACCATCCTCTGCCACTTTCCCCAGGCCATTAGCAGGGAGCTGGATTGGTAGTAGAGCAGCTGGCACACAAACCCATATGGGATGCCGGCGTCATAACGCCACAAGCCAGTCTCTACTCCAGTATCTTTGAGGCATGTCTTGGATATATCATTTTCCTGGATAAAAATGGGGTGGGGTCAGTGCTATGACACAGGAAACTAATTCTCTCTCTGAGGTGGGACCAGGTTCAAGTCCTGGCTGCTCCATTTCTGATCCAGCTCCCTGCTTTTGACCTGGGACAATAGTGGAAGATAGCCCAAATGGTTGGACCTCTGGACTCATGTCGAAGACCTAGAGGAAGCTCCTGACTTCGGGCCAGCCCAGCTGCGGCCATTGTGGTCATTTAGGGAGTGAACCAGTGAACGGAAGATCTCGCTCTTTCTCTCTGTAACTCTGCCTTCCAAGTTAAAAACGTGCATGCTACATTTGTATACAAGTGGTAATTTCTGTAGTTCTGATTCAGATTATTTTGTTTAGCTTCCTCAGTGCTGCTCTGTGTTCTTACTCAAGTCTGCTGCTTCTGCCAGCAAGGTCAGTATGTGTGGCGTGCATGTATCCCCCTTTCCTCCTTTCCCCACCCCCTTGGTGGCAGCCCCAGTGCTGCCTTCCAGCTCCTTCCTCCCTGGGTAGAGCTGTGATGACTACGGCTCTCGCCAACTCCCATGTGTGCTTCGCTGGTGCACTCATCTGCTTTTTGTTACTTAAACCAAAACCCCCGAAGAGCATATTTCAGGGAAACGCACATTTTAGCTTACAGTTCTGAGAGTTGCAGTTCAAGATCAGATGGCCCCGCTTAGTGTGGGACCTGGTGTAGACTGCCATGGGTAGAGGATGTGCAGGGCAATGGTCATAAAGAGGACCAGGAAGCAGAGAGAGAGAGAGAGAAGCTAGGCCTCTCGGCTTCAGCAACCCGTGCCTTGGCAAGCACTGCCTTAGGCACTACCTCCTGTCAGCCCACCTGCTAGATCAAGTGTCCCTCCCAGTCTGCCCATCACTCACAGGTATCATCAACCAGAAACCCAAGTCTTTGGGGACTGAAATGTCTGAATGTGTTTGGAGAACCCAATGTTATTGAATCCTATAGCATCTGTGTAACGTAACACCGCCATGGCTGGGGTTGCTGAGATGGGGACAGTATCCATCCTTAGCCTAAGTCCTGCCTCACTGCAATGGATGCTGGCTGTCCCAGTCCCGTGCACAGCAGGCATCCCTAGAGTATCCACAGTCCCCGGAAGGACCTGACTTGCCAGTGACAGAGAAGTGGGTTGTCCCGTTTGTCCCTCAATCTCATCGATCTTCCCCCGTTAGACTCTAGGGCAGGGGCTGTGTCCCAGCACCCTGGGCTGGAGCCTGGTGCTTTGAGGCATCTTTGAGTGAAGGAACAAGCTGATAGATTCCCACACTTCCTTTGCACCAAACCTCACCTGGGCGGTCAGTTGTGCTTCCCATGTGGATGGCTGGGTCTAGCTGGGGATGTGGGACAGAGTTCTGCACCTCAGCCTGCTTGAAGAGACTAATGATAGCTCTGCGTCAAGAACTCACATATTAATGACAGTTCTGCTCCACTCTGCAGCCTGGGCAGGATGGGGCTGGGGGCTTGGAGTTGGCTTCACAGAACCCTGACCTGGGCAGATTACACCACCTGGTATCCAGTTTGGTAGCCCGACCCAGACAACAAGTCTGGGATAAGAAAGCCAGGGTAGTTTGGGGGAGCTTCCTGCAGGAGGTGGTGGCTTAGATCAAATATAGAGGATCTCAGCTGCTTTATATGAGGAAGCCCCAGGATGCAACTCTGCTTCTGTCTAT